ATAGTTTGCCATGTGAAGTAATTTATCATTTTCTTTTGGCATTGTGGTCCAATGCTTTGTAATTTCAACCATTTCTTAATAAGACTCAGAAAGTGGAATTCACAGATCCAATCTTTAGCAACTTTTGCACTACAATTTGAATTGAAAGCTAACAACAAATAGAAATGGTGTTTTTTTTCTCTGGAGGCAAATGTGACAGCCAATTGTTCACATGAAGATTCACAATTAGAAAATGAGGTGAACAACTGGCTAATTTTTTTTTTAATTGTTGCTTGTGGGAGGAATGTTTACTGGGATCTAGGAAGAAATATCTTCTCCTTTTCAAAATAGTCATGGCATCTTATGTTTATATCCATCTGAACAGATAGGCCAAGCCTTAGTTTAGTGTTTTATCGGAATGATACATTTTCAGCAGTATAAAACTGTCTCAACCCCATACTGTGGTGTCAGCTAAAATAATGGGCTCAAATCTACTAATCATTTCTTCTGGAATTATTGAAAAATAAAACTTTCGAAGTTCAGACTGGCTGCACGGTTCATGGCATCAAACATGACCAGAGCATGTTGTGGAGATGCTATTTTTCTTGCATTGGCATACACAAGTCGGAGCTTCAGATCTGCGTTGATGTTGTGTAAGTGACCTGAACGACCTGCCATCAAACAAGGAATATGGTCACATGAAACGGTGCCATTTACTGTTTGTATAGTACAGCAGTCATAGAATAAAGCTCTTCACAAAGTCACAAAGTGAGTTATGTAAGCCAGAAATACAAAATATAACATGCCCATCAATAAAGCTCAAAAAGAACATTTACATTAATGAACACATTGTATTTCGGGACCAATTCAGGAACTACTTAAATGCATTAGCAGTAACATTGCTATTGCTAATTTGGAGGATGGGGAGTGATTTAACATTCAGCTGGTGTCACCATTTTCTTCGTGAGATCTTCCTATTGTCTCTCAAAAATTTATTCTTCAGGGAACACAGGGGGTTTAGAAACACCGGAGGATCTTCAGCTTCATAAGATTGAAGTCAGGCTGGCTCCACTAGTGTTAATTATGGAGTATTTTACACTTTCAGGATGATGAGCCTTCAAGGATTAGAGACCTCACATCCACTGCAGTACATGTGCCTGTCCTGACGTATCCAGTATTCATGGCCAAAACAGGTAGTGTGAGGACAGAATGGAAAACCCAATACACAGCCCACAACCTATGCTACTCTCTCTATGTAATTTTCTCTATCTCTCACTCAGGACTGAGTATGGTAAGAGACACAGGCACCAAAGCTTTAGACAAGTCATAGGTTCATGTTATTGTATATGTTTATCGAGGTATGGGTCTTGCTGCAGAGTCTGGCAGGGACAGATGTCACCAATGGCTGGATCTGGCTCTTAACCCATGGATTTTCATTCCCTTGGAGTTAGAAGGACAAACAAACAAAACAGATAGATGGATACCATCAGGTCTCATATACACCACAGGCAGTTTATTCCAATGCAATACAAAATAATGAAAAGAAACAGAAGGCAAAAGCCTGGCAGAGTGAGCAATCAGTCGCCCATTATAAATTTCAATGGGTACATAACAGTGGATAACGTTGAACAACAGGAGGATAATTCATACAACCAGATTACTGCCCAGATTCTTGTGACTTCCATTGATATTGACAATTCCTGCCTACAAATAGAAAAGATGAAGTAATTTGCTTTCATAGAGCACCTTTCATGACTTCAAGATATCGCAAATCACTTGATCGTCAATACAACATTGTGAAATCTTGGATGGAAATTTTAATCAGGTGGTGAAGGAAAATCTCCCCTCTTGTGCTGGCTGATTGAAATCTTAAATTGCAAATTACAAAGATATTACTCCAAATTAGAGGGATCCTCATTTAATTATACTCCAGTGACATGCTCAGGGCCTGACTGGCATATTAGTGCAAGAGCTGAGTTGAGGAACATTGCTGGGATCCCTACCAGGCCAAAGTGTATCAGAAGAGGGCCAGCAGGTTACACTTTTTGAAGTTTTATTTTCAGGAAAGAATTCCTTGTTTTGATTCCTATTGAGCTCCCCTTTTTCCTGATCAATTATGAGAGTGCCAAGAACAGGTCATTGAAGAACAAAAAGCAAAATGAGAAAAGCAAATCAAAAAATAAAGAGGAGTGGCAGAAGAAAGCCAAAGTAAAATAATACAGCATACATGAGAGTGCAAATCCTTGATTAGTTTACTTGCTTATTTAGTTTTTGCTAAAGATCCTATTAATTTGTTGGAACTCTTCCGACAAACTTGTTTGACTTAATTGCTTTGCTCACATCGGATTGCAGCCCCATTGCTTAACTTCCTGTTTACTGTCTTCATTCTTGGCACCAAGCAAATCTAAATTGGTAATTAGAAGGTTGCACTGGGTAAGGAGTAATAGTCAGACTGAGAAAAATGACTCAGACAACATATAGCTTAACAGTGTATTGCAGATAATTTTGTTTCTCTCAAGTCAGCCAGCTAAACATAAAATTCTCAATTAAATCAAAGTCAAAGTCAAAGTAACTTGACACATTTATACTTGTGGAATTCAAAAATGAACAGGTCTAAAAATATGGACCAACAGAAATTACAGTACGAGCACAGGGAACCAATTTAAAATCAACACTGAAGCACAAATCAAGAAGAGCCATGATTCAATCAATGGAGTGTGCTAATTACCTGACCATACTTTTATTCCTGACTAGTGTTATGGACGAGAATGAGAAAGAACTGAAAATGTTCCCTTCCCTTAATGTATGTATTCAGTGATTTTTTTTAAAAGAAAGCGAGGTGTATGCTACTTAACCCTTGGGCGTGCGGTTAGCTTGTTTTCCAGCAGCAAGCGTTTGTGGGTTTAAACAAAAAGGATTCTTTATTCATGCATTCAGACCCTAAATCTAACACCACACCGCTCACTCATCATTCACACACACTTGAGAAAAATTCAGTTAAAAAGAATAGTGCACTTTTACAAGAAATGAACAGGAATAATTAAGCTACATGATTGGCTAATCTCAATGTAGGCTAAGAAAGAAATTATTCTTTTCCACTCATGAAGTGTAGGTAGGCAACTTCAATAACTAAATTTCCAGATCAAATTCGTTGCAGGATTCCTTAAATTTGAGTATAGTATAAAGCTTTTGGTTTACAGTGTTATTACTAGGAGGTCATGTTTTTGTACTGACAAACTTGAAAAGAAACAGAGTTGGAAACCTTAGAAAGGTGCAGTCTCCAGTTTTAAAGCATAGATGCTGCTGACTTTGTTACTGCTGTTGTTTCTTGCAGTGCTGTTTGCAGAGTAACGGTTTCTCCCTGATTCTTGGGGTAATAAGTTGCATTATTTGTAGTCAGTTTTGGTTAGGTGGCTATCTAATCAATGCTTTTGTTGTCCACCTAGAATGATTTGAAATTCAAAGCCATTACTATTTTCAAGCAGAGTCAGTGTTGGAGCCAAAGATATTAAACTTTGGATAAAGTTCACAGGATAAGCCCATAGGAGGTATAGATTTCAGAAATGGTTTACATACATACAACAAAGAAACACGCTCTTCGGCCCACCGTGTCTATGCCCACTAACAAACACCAAACTACACCGATCCCATTTACCAGCCCTTGATCTATAGCCCACTATGTCCTTGCATTTTAAGTGTTCATCCAAATGCATTTTAAATGTTGTGAGAGAACCTGCCTCCACCACCTTCTCCAGCAGTGTATTCCATATTTTGACCACCCTCAGGGTAATTTTTTTTCTCAGATCTGCTCTAAACCCCTGACTCCTCACCTTAAAACTTCTGCCAAAACTTCTTTTGTTTAGGCATGTCCATTCAAGGCAATCACTCCATGCATGGGCACTTAGTTAGGGAGACTTGAGAAACCTTGGAGTCCGTGCAGAAATTGCAGAAATCACTTGACCCATAACAGGCATCTTTGCATTTATAGGTCCATTTCTAAAAGCAAAGACAGTTCTAGGAAACTCTATATTAAATACAAACCATCTTCAAAATTATAAACATCATATGTCTTTACTGGTCATAACAACAGTAAGGTATGATGGTCCACTGGAAAATACACCAGTGTGGATTTGAGATCCGGGCATGGGTGAGCTTAGTTCACATGCTGGTCAACACACAGCCTGATTTACCAACTTCAGCTTAAAGAATGGCATTGGCAGGAGCTGGTCAATTCTCAGGACAGTTTAGTTTTGTAATTCACTGCTCATGATGTTGTCTCTTGGACACTGGGAAGACTAAACACAGACTGGGTGATCACATTACAAAGCACCTCCATTAAGTCTACAAGCAACATCCCAAGGTTGCATTTTGCCTCAGGCTTCATTTTTTCCCATTTTTCTTCACTCTTATCTTGCTTGGTTAATCCTCATCCTGTTTCTTTCTTTACACCCTTCTTGTTGTATTCAGGTGGCTTTGTATAGCAATTCTTTGTTTCTTCACTATAACCATTAGCATTCTATTTGGCCGTTGCTTTATGAAATCCTCTGTGATGTGTCTACTCTGGTCTCCACCCTAGCACAGACCTTCTCCTTTGTTCTTCATGCCTGCAACCCTTTCACAGAAATTAAAGAATTTTTAAGCCAATTTCTCTTCAGTTCTGATAAAATGTCATTGGCTCAAAGCATTAACTATGTTTCTCTGTAAAGAATGTCGTTTGATGTTTTTAGTTTTTTTCATGCTGTTTTTTGTTCCTGTTTTGGTTCCTGAAACATCCAGAGTTAGTCTCTTCTGAAACCTGCACCATCAGCTACCCATTTCAAGCACAGTGAGTGTTTGCAATGCAAAAATCTTGCACTTTATGGCATTACATCTGTTGCTCAATTTTAATTAAACCAAGGAAAGCATATTAAACCAATAGCAAAACACAAACATTCATTGTCTTGGTGACTGTTGATGTGATTCTCCATATGGAAAATACATGAAAGCAGCTTCAAATAAAGATTTTAAAACCCCCAATATCCCATGCCTATACCTTCATCCCACTTAGCCTCTGTGGAAATTTAATGTACTTCCTTTTGTTCTCCTCTGCAGGTATTTGCAACCCAGACTGCAGGCCTTAGCCATGCCATTAGAGTGAAAATGCCACCCTTAGTGACATTTACACCAGTGACCTAGAGGCTGTACTGTCATCCACTTATCCCACACACTTCACGAACACAGGTAAATCCATCTGGGTCAAACATTTGGAATCGGCTCCATTTTCTTGTAAGGATGACTCAGAGGCTTCACAGCAGCTCAGAGAGGTTGTGAAAGCCAAGTTTGTGGACATGCAGAAAATTGCTGGGGAAGAAGCACATAGATAATGAGCCTTTGGTTTCAGCATGTAACGTCAGCTAAAGATGCAACAAACTTTAGGGGAATAATGTGTCAGGGATGTCAAGGGATGGGTGTTTATGTATACAACGGGGGAGTCTATGTTCACCAAGAGTTGCGTCTTGACTCTGACTATGAGCTTCTGACCTGTTCCGTAGAGAGATTAGAGATTACCAGGGAGAGAGTAGTTGCACAATCAACCAATATGTGCTCCAACCTGCACTCTGATGCTCTCGACATTGATTGCATACAGCAGTGGCTAGGCAAGTTGGGAATGAGGCACATGAAACTCTCACAATGTGTCCCTTCTCCTCAGGGAGACACGGAGGCATCATTATGTACCTAGGTGGAAGAGATGTGAATGTTAATTGCCCAGAGGCTAGTGCCCGAGGTAAGCATCCTCTGCCCATCCTCTGTACCATTGACACCATTGACTCTGGTGGGTGTGGCCGGGTATCCTGGGAACACATTCAGAAATATATATATTAGCTGGGACCTGCAAGACCTTAGACTTCCAGAAGATTCAAACTTTTCAGCATTTATGTAGCCATTCCAATTTCCGCTGTGTTCTTGGCTCCTGTGAGTTGATTAGTTACAGACACTATTTGGCTCCTATGCAATGTTGGGAAGATTCCATTGTCCTGATAAGATAACTGAATCATTAACTAGTTCAACTGGCTTACCTCCACTGCTAGGAGGTTTATCAGCTGTCCAAATGAGCCACCTTTTGGAAAAGCAGGAGGAGAGGGGAACATATTGGCATACCTATGGATCCCCAGCTTCAAACTTGCTTTTATTGGAAAATTTCCTTTAAGTTCCTGAATATACATGGTAACAGATTTTTATGAAAAAATTATTTCTCAGTGAATAAATTTACAATACCTAGAACTTCATGAGCCAAGGACAAATAAAAAGAACTTCAATGGGTTTGATTCTGAATATTTGAAAAGTTTGAAGAAAACCCTCAAATGATACATTGAAGAGGATAAAATGCATAAATAAATCTGTTGAGCATGTAGCACATTCGTAACAATATGGAAACATACATTGCAATTACATCTATCGCTTTGTGTGTTAGGTCAATGCAATGCAATGAAACTCTCAAATACTTTGATTTCTTACATCCCTTGAATTAGTTCCTTACTCATTTACCCACTCAAATTTGCACTGAAACAAAAACCGTCAGAACCGGGTGGACTGCACTGAGCCAGGAGTCTGAACTGGAATCTGATTGCCTGACTCCAGACAACAGTACCACCAAGGTAAATTGCCATTGAAATTCTGAAGCCTTAGTTGCTATTATTGTTGATTTCAGATATTCACTTCCACATTAATCACAACATTGATTGCCATAGAACTTCACATCGGCATTCAGGACGTTTGCTTGGCTATGCAATTCGTCAAAATGAAAGATCCAACTCATCACCGTGTTGTGTAGTCATGCACATAACATTTAGTACTTTACATGTCTTCGTATGCTCTTTACATACTGTCTCGCGTCTTATCTAGGACATAATCTTAAATTAGAGCTAGGCCAATTAGAAATTACGTTCTGGGATTCTTGGTGTCACACCATCTTTAAAGCCCATACATGAACCTCGGTCAAGTGCTGGCAGTCAGCAGCTGCCCTGTACAGTTCCTGTCAATTGATCCAGGCATGTTGGACAGAGGCAAATTGGCACCCATTTTGCCAATGAGGGCCTAGAGATCCTGGTAAATGTGGGTGTATGTACAACAGTTGCTGATGGAGCATGCCCTGAGATGTTGGTGTCTAATGAAGGGCAAGTGATTAGCTGTGGCTGCCAGGTCACTGCTGTGACTTCCATGTTGGGAATTGACACGATCCAATTTCCATGCAGCAGGTAGGAGAACAAGGAATTGTACATCAATGAAACAGAATGACATTATAATGAGGATGTTAGTACATGGAAATAGATCTCTCACCACTGACTAGTGAGAATCTTATCTCACCTTTCAACACTTTGTTGGAAAATGGGGATGGTGATGGCCTGGTGGTAGAATCACTGAATTAGCAATCACAGGGCCTGGGTAATGTTCAAGGAGCCTGGGTTTGAATCTCACCACAGCAGGTGGTAGAGTTAGAATTCAATGAAAATCTGAAATGGAAAGTTTACGGATGACCATGACGTGTTTGTTGTGAAAACCTATCTAGTTCACTTTAGGAAAACAGATCTGCTGTCCTTACCAGTGACTTCAGACCAACATGCAATGAGGTTGACTCCTTACTACCTACTGAGCAATTAGGGATTGGTAGTAAATGCTGGCCATCAGCAACACCAAATCCTCAACTCTAAAGCAAAGGGACTTTTGCTTGCAAACTCAGGAAATTCCTGAGGAGCACGATTTGCAATTTTCCAATTAAATTGAACAATTTCTGAGTCTAGAGAGTAATTAATACATCTGTAATTTCTTTACCTGCATCTTTTAATGGCCAGAGGTGGAATCTGTCAGGTCTTCGAGATTTGTCTTTATTAATGATTGAATAGGTTAACAGAATAGGTTGATAGGTTAGAGGGGAGGTGATGACCTAGTGGTATTATTGCTGGACTGTTAATCCAGAGACCCAGATAATGTTCTGGGGACCTGGGTTTGAATCCTGCCACGGCAGATGGTGGAATTTGAATTCAATGAAATATCTGGAATTAAGAATCTAATGATGACCAAGAATCCATTGTTGATTGTCAGAAAAACCCATCTGGTTCACTAATGCCCTTTAGGGAAGGAAACTGTCATCCTTACCTGGTCTGGCCTACATGTGACTCCAGACCCACAGCAATGTGGTTGACTCTTAACTGCCCTCTGGGCAATTAGGGATGGGCAATAAGTGCTGCCTTGCCATGGATGCCCTCATCCCTAAATGAATAAAAAAAAATCATATGGTTACTTGACCAAGATGTATCTGGGCAACCATAACCTAGCAAACTCATCAACTTCAGGACAGAAGTAAAGATAATTGGGAGGAATAAAAAGTGCATTATGAAAAAAGGAAAATATTGTTTTCCATGGTCATACACAATATTTCAGTTTTAAATGAGTATCATGGTAGAATCTTTATGTTCTGATAAATTATTTAATTGTAAGTGATACCATTGTCTTATGTGGGTCTTTGCACAATTGAAGAGTCCGATGGTGAATTGGCACATATCTCCACAAAACAGGCAGCTCATTTTCTTGTAGTTGGTGCTAAGGGTAGCCTCCGGCAACCAGGCCATTTGTAGTTTTCCTCTGGGTGCGTAAGATGTTGGGATTTGTCAGACGTTGGCTTTGAAACATGTTGAACAAAATTTCAGCATTCCATGTGAGCTAGTGAGATGCAATGCTTTCCCAGGATCAGTGCCTGCAATGCAAAGGTTTTTTGGGTGTAGCTGCATCCTGTGTATTGAGTACCTTGTTGTTTCTCTGAGGTAGTTCACCACATAAGATCTGTGCCTAAGATCTGGTCCATGCTATTGAGCACAGCGCACTGCAGGACCTCATTGTGATTTTGTCCTGCCATCATACGCTCATGATAGGCCTCAGTTGTCTTTGGTGGAAGCATTCCAGAGTCTTGATGTGGCATCTGTATCAGACTCAGTGCTAAATGGCTCAATGGTAAGGATATTGACCTTTACCAGTGAACACATTTATAATGCAGGGAAACTAAAATATCAGTGGCATTAATGCAAGTACACACAACAATGTGTATGGTTTGATGTTTATTTGTATATGGGCCATATATCATTAGCTACTTCTTTGATGTTTTTAAAATGAATTGTTGATCTTAGGTGGAACAGTTCTATCAAAGAAGGTGAGAGGGCTGGAGCCTGGAGTTGCAGGTTATTCAGATTAAGCTTGAACCAAATGTTTTGAAGAAGAGAAAGGGCTGGCTGGAAGACAGTGTGCATTGAATTATCTAGAAGCAACTATTCTTTCTGAGCTTAGTACATTCTTACCCTTGTATGACCTGTGCATAGCAGCATAATTAAAAACTAATCTCGAAGAACCTGAGGTATGAACTGTCTCAGTGTTCAACAGAAACTAAAATTCTCTGAGATATGGAGCAATGCTAACAACATTACACTTACTTTGCATTTAAAAGGTGTTGGAAAAGTAGCCCTTATTTCAATGGGCTATTCTGGCACCAACCCATGCACTTAACAAATCAGTTCACTTTGAAGCCAAATCACTTCTCTCGTGCAAATCAAGTTTCATTAATTGATAGATACAGAAGCAGATTTGGCACGAACTTTGCCATTCTAGTGAAAATTAAATCTAAAAATCAAAAACATCACTTAACTTGCATTACTTCTTTAGCTTTCTTTTCTAAATTTTTCAAAGTTGTGTAACTGCTGCCATGCCTCTCACTTTGGATAAAGTTCATATTCATGTGATTGACCCTGAGGTTTTTGCCCTTCACCTATTGGCTGGCCACATTGCTTGGCCTAGATAATGTTGTTTACCAAGACAATTTTTAAACCTGAATCATAGCTTTCTCCACGAAGGTGAGTGGATACTTAAAAATATAACCATGGTCCATTTAGTTCTGAAATAATTCACAATGATAAATACATGAACATGATCCATTCCTATCTTCAGAGTACATGTCCAACTGCCTTTTGAAAGCTCTGAAACCTGTTTCTACCACTTTTTCAGAGAGTTCATTCCATACCTTGATAACTAACAATTCTCCATGTGAAAATAATCTTCTAATTTATTTAGTTCTTAGACCAATGATTTAAAATCTCTAACCTTTTTGTTCCCAAACCATTTACTAAAGGTAACATCTTTTTCTCACTTGGTCTATCAAAGCCCCTCTAACTTCTGATTAACTCTATTAGTTTTCACTTTAATTAGTCCTTCAAGGGAGAATATCCAACTTTACCCAATCCCACTAAAATCCCTTATCCTGATATCAACTAACACTACTTCTGTATTTTTGCCAAGGTAATTAACACCCTTTCTGAAGTGGGGTGTCCAGAATTGCACAGAATAATCCAGTTGAGGCCTTGTAATTTGAAAAGATTGACCACAATTTCCTTGTTTTTCATTTCAATGTTTCTTCCTATTTACAAAACTAAGTATTCCCAATGCCTTCTCCACTTGCCTAGCTACCATCAAATATACACATCTTAATGCATTCATGGCTTTTTTTTAAGAATGTGAGCATACACAACTGTGCTTTGAGCAGGCCACATAGTTGGCAAACTGCACCCATTCCCAGTTACAGTAGAAGTCTCAACTTGAAAATATTTTTATAATCGCTGAGTGGATAGGTTACGAGCAACATGTGTGATACTTTTGCCAGGATTCCAATCTCAACAAAAATTACTTTTTTGTGGTACTAATATATTTTTACATAATTGCATTAAATGTGGGAGTTGGCTAGAATAGGGAACATCTTGAGTTAATGTATTAATCTCATTTTAATCTTGCAATACATGCCTCAAAATTGAAATGTTAATTAAATTCAATCTTAAATAGATAACAATATTGCATTTTGCACCAGCCTAATTATCCAACTAAAAGCTAACAAGAGTAATTGCTATTATCAACTTTTTTAAATGTTATTGTGACAATGGATCGGAACCCAAAGCATTTGTCTTTTCTTTAACATTTATTTCCAAAATTGTTGTTTTTAAAAGGACTGCTACAGGAGCCTGCAGATTTGAAATCAGTGACTTTCTGAAGCCCATGAAATGTTACACATGTAAATTAACTTCAAACAGGGAGAAATGTAATAAAAAGAGAAATTGAGGTCTTAATTATATTTCCCCTCTCAGCAGAAAACCACCTCTTGCACCCGACAGGAATGTACAAAAAAAGAGATTACAAAGCATTTATCAACTCTACTGATGTAGACGAGTGAGACTGAATGCTCTTGAGTGTACCTGACTGGAGTCAAGCATTAATGTCTGTGAAGGTCACAGTGGAAGGAGTGTCCCCTTAGTACTCCTGTGCTGCAGGCAAAGATACTCTTTCTCACTCCAAATGCTGCAAACCAGCTGGAAAAAAAGCAAGAGAAATGAACTTCAATCAGCCTACAAAACCAAAAATCTCAAAAATCATCTGTTTACCTGCCACTCTCAACCCTACTGGCCACTTACATCGCAACATTCAACTACATGCTGGTCATGAATAATTTAAAGGCTGATCTCTAGAACAGTTTCTTAAAATTTTTATCATTTTGGTCTCACCTTTCATTATATGTGCATTGAATTATTAGCTCTTCTCACATTTAATGATTAATAAACTCGCCTCTTTTGTTAATTAAGAAAGTGTGGACAACTTGGTTCCTTTCAAAATAAAACTAATTTGTGGGACAAAGGTGTCCGCAAGAGAAGAGATTCTTTTTAAATTATCCTTGTTGCAACTCACTGAGGGGGTAGCTGTATAAAGAAGGGGAGCCATTTCATCTCTCCTCACCTGGGAGTTTAATAGTTTGGAGTATTCCCTCCTGGAACTAGAATGAATTGCAGAACCATGCCCAGGGTCTTGTAGCAATGTTTGATTTTGTTTATCTAGTTTCTTCAACATTTGATGCATTTCTGAAAGAGGGATGAATTCTGTGTAAATTAGGGTGCCGTGCCATCCGCAGACCATCTACTAGCCACACCTCATCACAGTTCTGTGACAGATGTCACTGAGCAATTAATACCCAAATTAGGGCTACATCCTGCCACCACCCAGATTTAACAGCTAGTGGGAAGTGTTCTATACCCAACATATAACCTGGCATGTATAACCTACGGGCTGCTGGTCAGTGAAAGGAGGTGTCCCTTGTGCCCAATCAAGGACTCCCAAACCCACAGTTCTGCATCTCCGCATCCACATTGCCCTCTCCAACATGGTTTCCCAAACCATCTTGCCAGGGCCTACCAAAACAACCCAATGAGATCCTGGACTTACCAGGATTGAGGGGCATCCATGGTTCCTTTCATTCCCCCGTCTCCTATAATACCAGCAACAGCCACCACTCCTGGTTCAGTGTGGAGCTGCTGACTCCCTGTAAATGGATGGAAGCCCTGCCTCATACCAATTAAAGAGCATTATGTATCCCAAAATGTTGTGAGAAGTAAGGGAGGAATTTACAAGAGCCCTTGCAGAAATACTTGCATAATCTTTAACTACAGGTGAGGTGCCTGATGACTGGAGGGTGGCTAATGTTGTATGTTGTTTAAGAAAGGTGTAAGGAGAAACCAGGGAACTATAGAGCTGTGTGTCTGACTTCAGTTGTGGGTAAATTGTTTGAGGTGATTATGAAAGGTATGATTTATGGACATTTAGAGAGGCAAAACTTGATTAGGAATTGTCAGCATGGTTTTGTGTGAGGAAGATCGTGTCTCACAAACTTGCTTGAGTTTTTTGAGGAAGTTACCAAAATGGTTGATGATGGCAGAGCAGTAGGCATTTGTTTATTTGGATTTAGTAAAGCCTTTGACAAGTTTCCGCATTGTAGACTAATTAGTAAAGTTAGATGACATGGGATTCAGGGTGAGCTTACCAATTGGATACATAATTGGCTTAATGGCAAGAGCAAGACAGTAATGGTAGAGGGTTGCTTTTTGAACTGGAGGCCTGTGACCAGCGGTGTTCCACAGGAATCAGTTCTGGGTCCTCTTTTGTTGTCATTTATATAAATGATTTGAATGAGAATATAGAAGGTATGGTTAGTAAGTTTGCAGATGACATCAAAATTGGTGGCATAATAGACAGTGAAGAAGGTTTTCTAAGATTACAGAGGGATCTTGATCAAATGGGGCAAAGATCTGAAAAATGGAAAAATGGAGTTCAATCTGGATATATGCGAGGTATTGCAACAAACAAGGATAGAGCTTATACAATTAATGTTAGGGCCCTAGGTAGTGTTGTAGGACAGAGGGACCTAGGACTATAGGTACATAATTCTTTAAAGTTTGCTTCACATGTAGATAGTGTGGTTAAAAAGGCATTTTGCACGCTTGCCTTCATTGCTCGGTCTTTTGAGTTTGGGATTGGAATGTTATTTTGAGGTTGTACAGGACATTGGTGAGGCCTCTTCTGGAATACAGTGTCCCATTCTAGTTGCCCAGTTATAGGAAGGATATTATCAAGGTGGAGAGCATTCAGAAGAGAGTTACCAGGATGTTGCTGGGTATGGAAAGTTTGGAGTTATAAGGAAAGGCTGGATAGACTGGGACTTTTTTCACTGGAGCATAGGAAGTTGAGAGGTGACCTGACAGAAGTTTATAAAACATGGGGTGGCATGGTGGCTCGGTGGTTAGCACTGCTGCCTCACAGCGCCAGGGACCCAGGTTCAATTCCACCTTTGGGTGACTGTCTGTGTGAAGTTTGTACATTCTCCCCGTGTCTGTGTGGGTTTCCTCCCACAGTCCAAAGATGTGCAGGCTAGGTGGATTGGCCATGCTAAATTGCCTGTAGTGTTCAGGGAGGTGTAGATTAGGGGGATGGGTCTAGGGGGGATGCTGTGACAGTCAGTGTGGACTTGTTGGGCCAAAGGGCCTGTTTCCACACTGTAGGGATTCTATGATAAAATAATGAGAGGTGTTGATGGTAGTTGTCTTTTCCTTAAGATAGGGGATACATTCTCAAGGACAGAGATTTTAAAAAGACATGAGGCAAATTGTTTACGCAGAAGATGGTTTGCATGTGAAATGAACCTCCTGATGAAGTTGTGGATGCGGGTACAATTACAATGTTTAAAAGACATTTGGATGGATATATGAGTAGGAAAGGTTTGGAGGGATATGGGCCAGAAGTAGACAGGTGGGACTAGTTTAATTTGGGATTATGTTCAGCATGACTGGTTGGACCGGAGGGTGTGTTTCCATGCTGTATGACTATGACTCTGTGTGGATGCTGGCTACCCTCAAAATGTAAGGCCCAGTGCCACAATCCAATTCAATGTCCGGAAGTTAGTTCAGAGCATTCATTGTTATTCAGGATTTCACTGAGAAACCATGAGGCAGAATTACTTTTTCTGGATCAGGACCCTGACAACAGTGTCAAATCTGAACTCTGATACATGAGGGTATCACAAGCAGAATGTTTAGATGTGCACTGTTAAAAAGAAAAACATGCATTCAATATCTTCTCTTAGAAAGTAACTTTCTCTTCTAATAATCTCATAAAGAGTCAATCAAACAACCAGGGAAAATCATGTTGAAGAAAGGTTTGATACATCACATCTCTTACTCCTGGCTAAATCAGCAGATATTGAAAAACCACTTCAAAGAAAGATTGCATTGTTACAATCTCACCAACTGTCAATAGAACTAAACTAGCCATACCCTTTGCAGATATAAAGAACTTCCTACCCCACTAGGTCCATTAATCATTTTGAAAGCTCAGCCAGGCATTTGTAGTGAGGGTATCTAGCAAACAGATATCAGGCTATTTGTTCAGTCCGCTTCTGTTGATATAGTTGCCAGATGACCTCATTGTGAATTACATCTATTTATTTCATAAAACATTTCAACAACTTTTGAATCTCTCTGTCAAAAGATTCGTGACTCCATACTAAACCCTTCGTTCATAACTCCTCTCAGGAACCATGTAGGATATGTCCTGCAAAGACTAGATCAGTTCAATTAAAAGTGTAGAGACTTTGAAGTACCCACTCCCACAATAATCAGAAAAGTTGTAAGTGCTGCAACTTTTGAGGAAGGGATATTACGTTACATTCAACTATTCATTATATCTTTGATTAAGGATTATATTCCTGTCCTATAACCAATGCTAAATTAACTGAACTGTAGTTCCCTTAACTTGTACTATCTCTCTATTTTAAATATATAGGGGCACCATGGTGGCTCAGTGGTTAGCACTGCTGCCTCACAGCACCAGGGACATGGGTTCAATTCCACCTTCAGGTGACAGTCTGTGTGGACTTTGCACATTTTCCCCATGTCTGTGTGGTTTGTCTAGATGTTCTGGTTTCCACCCACAGTCAAAAGATGTGCAGGTTAGGTGGATTGGCCATGCTAAATTTCCCATAGTGTCAAGGGATGTGTGGGTTAGGTGGATTGGCCTTGGGAAATGTAGGGTTACAGAGGATAGTGTAGTGGGTGGGTCTGGCTGGGATGCTGTTTGATGGGTCAGCATACACAAATAGACTGCTTCCCCACTGCAGTGATTCTATAATTCTAAAAGTTATATGAATTATCCAAAGTGCTTTTGCTGCCTCAATCCTCACCTCTTTTAATGCGATGAAATCCCTCTGGACAAATGTTTTTTTTCCTTCTATACAAGTTCATCAGTTATCTCCTGACTTGCTATCTTTAATGCCTTTACATAATTTCTTCCAATGCCACGTCTACCATTTTAGTCACCTTGACAGGCAAAGTAACTATTCAAATATTTCTACCATTTTGCCATCATTACTTGTTTTTGCACACATTTGTGTCAAGAATAGTTACATACTCTTTCAAGGTTTAGGCATTTCAAGTTTTTTGTTCTGAACGTGTATATCTGTCAAATCAAGAAATGCTAATACTAAAAGGCAAGAATAATTTTGGCTCTTTGAGCCTATTCTCTCTGCAGATCATGCACAATATGCTATATTATTGACTTTGTTGGAGATGTGGCTGCCAAGAAGTTGACCTATCAAGGATATAACATAAACTGGTAATTGAATAGATGGGGAGATGGTCATGTTGTGGTATTGTCATTGCGTTAATAATTTTAGAGACATAGGTAATACCCTGGGTTCAAATTTCACCTTAGCCGATGGTTGAATTTGAATTCAAAAAATTCTGAACATATTGTTACATAAATCTATCTGGCACCTACATGTGATTCTAAAACCACAGCAATGTGATTAACTCTTAACTGCCCGCTGAAATAGTGTAGCAAGTCATTGCGTTGTATCAAACAGCTAACAGAGTATACGTTCAGTGCTGGGGAGTCACAATCTATTTTCAGGGGCTTTGCAACAAATTAAAGATCCAGAACAGGTCATTCATTGCACTGTAGTGAATTCATTACACAATAACACTTCTCCAATGCTAAACCTTCCAATGCCAGAAAGGGGTGAATACTTACCTCCTGTCATTTCTATGGAATAGAGTTCAAAACTGGTTCATGAAGCAGAAGCTCACAGTTTTGTTACACACACTGAGACCACAGGAAATCTTCCCGCATGATGATTAAAAATTCTCAAAAAAAACTGACAGTCACCATACCACAGTGTGTGCAAAATCATGGTCATAGCATTTAGAATTATATTGTTTCAATTAAAATTTATTACTTCTAAGAATGTACTGAGGTCTGATTGAACCACTGCAAATTAGCACATCTTCAAAACATCTGCCAGTTGCTGGTAGTAATACAACATGCAGTAGACTTTCTGACTCAAGCGTCAAATGTAGTCAAAACAAATTTATATCATCCGTTCATAGCATGACACGGTCCAATTTGGTGGGTTGATTTGTCAATAGCCTAGCCGTTAATTCCAACAAAACTGATATGTTCATTTTATGCTTAGCCACAAAAAAGAAAGTCAGGAAAAAAGCAATTTGCCATATGCTTTCATGTATTCTCATCAGTGA